ACGGCCCAAGACAGCCCCAACACGGCTGAAAAGGGCCGCGAGAGTTTTCCAAGAAGGTTACAGTCACCGAGACGGCCTACGAGGCCTCCAAGGCAGCTCAAGAGCGCCCCAAACCGTACGAGTTCTCCGCCCCTGGAGGCCTCAAGGGGCTCGACGCGGTCCCAAGAAACACACGGCCCACCGGGTCCCAAAAGGGCCCCAAGAAGCCAACATCATTGTGTTTCTTTTGGTTTTTGGTACATTTCAGCGTTTCTGCCTGTGCAGCTTCCCGACGCTCCGACACGGTCCCGAACACCCAGATATCGCCCCAACAGGCCCCCAAGAGGGCGCCGCGACGGCCCAGACACACCCTCAGACGGGAACCGGGGGAGCCCGTCCCTGGATTGGGGGGGGGGTCCGTCCACGAACCAGGGGGTCTGTGGAGGGACGGCAGAAGGGAGTCCGTACACGGAACGGGTGGTTCTCCAGTGGCCAGCGGCCGGTTCGGGTGTGGGACTCTTGGGGACTGCGTATAAGCAAAATCTGGACGTCGCATGGCTGGGACCAGGGAGTGGCGGTTTCTTTTCGCACCGCGCGTTATCCCCCGGTTCGTTTCGGGGCCCAGGACCCTCACAGATCGATTTGGTTCAGGAGACGCAGCAGAACAATGGGGTTTGGGGCCTCGGTCATGCATTTTCCGCGCGGTTACATTCTGTCGGCGACGTCGGACCTCAGGGCCTGGACGCCCTTTCATGGGCCAAGTGACGGTTCAAGCACTATTCGGGATGAAACGCCGATCCCCAGGACGCCGAAACGGGGTCCAGACCTCTGGGAGGCCACGTTGGGAAAAAGCACGACGTGGATGCGGTAGTGGCACGTGGGTTCGTGTCGTGCCTGCGCGGCAGCGACCCCGCCGCGTGCGATCGAGGAACGCTGCCTGGTGCCTGGAGTAGGCCAGTATGGAAAGACTTGCCGATCGAGGAGCCACCTCTCACTCACGAGGCTGAACCACCCGCACGGTGTAAGGAGCCAGCGGCGGGGTCGTCACTCCTCCGACCCCATGTGCTCAGACTCCATCTAGGACGCCTCTGCAGCCCCAGTTTCGGCTCAGGGCGTCCCTCGCTTCTGCTCCTGTTTCTGCTGCTCCCTTTCTTGCTGCGATCCCTCATTCTTCTCTTTCTCCTCCTCCTCCCCCTCCTCCTCCCCCTCCTCCTCCTCCTCCTCCTCCTCTTCCTGCGCCTCCTCTTCCTCCTCTTCCTCCTGCTCCTCCTCCTGCTCCTCCTGCTCCTCCTCCTGCTCCTCCTCCTCCTCCTGCTCCTCCTCCTGCTGCTCCTCCCCCGGCTCCCGGAGGGTTCCTGGCGCCTCTCATGGGCTTCCCCGGGCGCCCCCGGGGACTCCAGATATATTCCAAGAGGGTCACGGACGGGCCACGATGGCTTCCGGGAAGCCCAAGATGGCTTGAAGACGGCCCGAAAGGCCCCCAAGATGGCTCCAAGAGGACCACCAGAAGGGCTCCAAGAGGCAAACATGATCTCATTTCTTTGGGAAAACGTGTATTTGTCGCATGCTGTTTTTTTCGGTGTTCGCAGCATGCAAGACGACCCAAGATGACCCTAAGATCGCTTCAAGACGGCCCAAGAGGCCCCCAGGACGGCCCCAAGACGGCCAATGAGGCCTTCAAGACGGCCCCAGAGGCGCCCAGGACGGCCCAGCAACGCCGCAAGTGGGCCCCAACAGGCGCCCAAGAGGAGGAATTCGAACTATAGGTTCGAGCTTCTCGCCCCAAGAGGATCCCCAAGACCCCCACGAGGCCCCCAAGAGGCCCCCAAGAGGCCCAACTATGCCCCCAGGACGCCCGCACGAGTCCCCAAGAGGCCCCCAAACGGCCCCCAACAGGCCAGCCCAAGATGGTACAATACCGACCCAAGAGGACCGACCACCTTCCCTAACCGCCCCCGCACACACACACAAGTTGGCTTCAGGACATCTCTGGTGAGGCCGATCTCGAACACCAAACGAACTCGCGGGTGCCCCCCCAAGATCTCCCAAGAGAAGCGTCTCTGCTCGGGCCGCACTCCTGCGCCCTCCGACCAGGTTGACACTGCTCGTGGCTGCCCACATGCAGGCAGCTGTGAGCTTGCCAGTGGCCGAGGGCATTGCTAGAACCACGCGCGCGCGCAGCGCGCGCGTGGTTCTACATAGTGAGCCCGGCGACGGGGCCCCTGGGCCCCGGGGCGGCCCATTTTTCCCAAACTCCTCCCCCGCCCGGCGTCAATCGGGCCGGGCGAAAGGGGGGGATTGGGAAAGGGGGGGGTACGAAATTTGCTGCATGCAGCTGGTTTCGGCCTCACCGAGGGGCCCATTCCTCGATACATGGCCGCCTCCGGCGCCGGGAGGCGCCGGGAAAATCAGCTCCGTGAGCTGATTCTCAATCCCCTTCTTTGCTATCCCCCCCTTTTGCCCGACCCGAGTCAAGTTTTCGTCCCTGGAGCCGGCAGGACTTTTTGAGCGGTCCGGGTGGTTCTCCGGATCTCGAAGATCTGCCTCGGCGACCCCACAGGACGCTCAGCGTCCGCCGAGGCGGTTCCAAGACGGCCGGAAAAGGTAGCAAAAGGGCCCATGCAGGGCCCAAGAGGCCCCCAAGGCGGCCGAATAATGCCCGGAGAGGATTCCGAGAGGCTTTCCAGGAAGCCTCCGAGAGCCCTATCTCAGGCACGTTGTCAGAGGACGGTGCCTCTGCAGACGGTACATTGAAATTGGGCACCACGATCTCGCCAGCTAGGATGCGTTGCTTGGTGTAGTGAATCGTCTCGGCCTTGCGAAACTCGAGCTGGCCCTCGTCGGTGCACGTGCCGATGTATGTCATCTGTTGCCCGAAAGTCTGGTCGAACGTGATTAACGCCTTGAGCATGTCAGCGGTGTGCAGGTCAAAATCACCCACCACTGTCTGTCGCCCCCCGCTGGTCGCCAGGGAGATCTGAGAGCATAGAGCTGAGCACGCGCAGGTACGCTGGCACGTCAGGCTGGTGATGCTTCTCCGCCAGACTAGCACGCGTCTCCGTCTCGATTGACGGTGGCAGCGCTTCCAGTGCGACGTCCTCCGCAGTAACCACACCCCTGGCGCGAAGGTGCGCGCCGCATGCCACGACGGGGTCCTTTGAATGCCGGCACTTCTTTCCAGGATTTGATTCGATTGGTGTTGTCGTCGGCCAGCGCCAAAGTTCCTTTGACCATGGGCGGCTTCTCTGAGCGCTCCTCTGGCTTCTCGGAAAAGTGCAGACATACGGACCGGCCAGTGAACAGGCCCTGCTTGAGGAGCCCTTGCTTGTAGGTGAACGTTGGGAGCAGCGCCAGCCCGATAGCTGGGCCGTCGGAGCGAACAAGCTCACCCAGCAACGCGTGTTGTAATTTGGTAGACTTGGCATTGAACAGCGACATCGCCGTCCAATTGATGTGCACGAACGCGTTGACGGACGTGCTTGACGTCAGAGCGTGTTTGGCCAACTCCTCTTTCACCTTGTCGGTCGTCTTGTTGATGTGTTTCACTTCTGTGGCTCAGAGAATCGTGGTCTTAGAATTCACGTGGTCGGGATCAAACAATGCCGTCGCTGCAGTCTCGGCCTCCTGGCCTCGCCATGCGCGGTACTGCACTGTCTTGTAGTACACGGCCGTCTTGCGATCGCGAGACTTTCCAACGCACGCAATGGCAGCGCTGACGTCGCGGCGGATGTGACTTCTGAACAGCTCAATATCTTGCTTCTCAAGCTCCGTCGATTCCACCTTCGTCGTCTGGGCCGGGGGCAACTCACCACCCACTTGCGAACCGGCCGTGAGCGACATGACCAGTTCCTTGAGCTCAGGGATGTCTGTGATGGCGAAGGCGGCCGCCTTATCCATGATTGCGGGTTCGATTGACGAGCATATGTTGGGGTCGCCATCCGTGAACGGCACCTTGCATCCCGTATGCAAGTCGCAGGCGGTCACTTGCTGATATTGGGCCATCGTCTCCTCCGCGGGAAAAAAAGCTGTGGGTAAAAAAACACAAGAAAACGCACAAACACACACACACACACACAAACTGCGGGTAAACAACACACAAAAGACAGACAAAACACACACACACACACAAAACACATACAAACACACAACAGAACACAGAGGCTGACTGCTCGCTCAGCTTCTCAAGGCTGGTCTTTCGAAGTCTCGGTGCGTGACGCCTCTGCCGAGGACTCGTGCCCAACATTTCACGGACGTCGGGCGCGGCCTGTGCCTTGCGAGTGTCTTCTTGGACGAGAAGGCATCGTCGTGGAACGCAGCATTCCCGCCGTGCTTCGACGCGTGGGCCGGCAGGAGACTACGGCCCTCCTTGTTCACGCACTTCAGTATGTTCAGGCAGCACGCCCTCTTGGCTCCGATCGCCCGGGCTTCCGTGGGGCATTCCAGATTCCATTCGGTCAGGACCTCGTCTTCAGACCAAGCCGTGGCTGCGGACACCTTCTCGAGCTTCTGGACCCAATTGAGCACGTCGTGCGCTTTGCGGGTGCTTCCACGGTAGGCCAAGAGCGCGCTCTTGAAGGCAATGGCCATCAAGTTTGGGGCAACCGCGTGGGAGCGGACGCGGATTGCCTTCAAAAGTGACCCGCAAAGCTTGTCCACGAACCTCCAACAACTTCTCCACGTCGCCATCGAACTTCTTCTACAAAGTGATGCTCATGGCGATGGCGGCGCAGGCTCGGTTGTGGCCCTTGACGTAGATTGCCACCAGTACGCCTTTGTTTTAGGGGGTCGGCCACGCAAGGACCGGGACGCTGACCATCGCAAATCCGCCGTCCATGATGTTGTCCACTAACGACAAGGATGTTTGATTCCGCGGCATGCATTTCGTAGATGTTTCGTCGCTGAACCCTACGTCTGTCATCCTGCAGACGAACTCAGTCTCACCTTCGGCGCTGTAGAACATATCCTTGCTCCCGTAGCTGAGGATGGAGTTCTTCTCGAAAACCACGTCCAACTGTTCGGCCATGGCAGTCGCCGAGAACTCGTCGGCGCACTCCTGCACGATGTATCGGGCCGGCCCTCCCGCAGCTCTCAAGGGCCAAGGGCTCTGTGAAATCCTCCGTGAACAGATGCGCTGCCTCCGGCTCCTCCTTCTTGACGTCGAGTTCCTCTTCCTCCCCCTCCTCCTCAGTCCGCTACCGTACCCCCGCCGCTTTTGATGTTTATTACCCAATCCTTCTTGTATTGCGTGCTGTGCCACACCCGCTTCGCCGCCGAGGAACGAAGCATGAAGATAGTGTACCACAACGTGCAGTGGGCGGACTACACCCGCCTCGAGGAGATTTCGATGCAGACGGCCAATATCGACGTCTACGTGGCTATAGGGACGGGCAGGGCGGCGCGAGACGACGATTACACGAAGTGCCAGCTGCCGAACCATCAATGTATCCAATTTGGGTGGAGAAAGGCGGCTGGCGTCAACAACTCGTGTGGACCGGCAGTACTACTGAATAAACGGCTCAGTGGCAGGATCCAGAGAGTAGTATCGCCCCCTACGAAGGGTGGCATCACAGGGCGGATTGGCATGATTACAGTAAGCGTGGGCACAATAGACGTGGCGCTGTTCCCTACATACATACCACCGCGGGGCATGGCCGTCAACACCCACAAGGGCATCACGAGAAATATTCTCAAGTGGATTCAAGGCGAGCTGGACAAGCTGGGGCACAATTGCCTCCCCATCATACTGGGTGACTACAACTGCGCTTTTGGAATACGACGAGATACGACAGGGAGAAAATACATAGAGGCCACCGGGTCCACTGGCATCGAAGAGCCCGCCCTGGAGAACACCACCAGCACGCAAGTGCGGGAATTTTTGGACGACAACCACTTGGCGATCGCGGACACATTTACACGGACGGGGCCCACCTACTACAGAGGCGCCCACACAAGCAAGATATACCACGTTGCCATACCAGCGACAGCACTGTGCAGGGTTCGCCAAATCAACCCATTGTTAGGACTGGCAAAAAGGCTGCCGCTACACGTCTCCACGCATTTGACCGACCACGTGCCGATTTACATGAACATGGACGCGCATATCGCCAAGACCCACATCAGCAAGCTCACGCCACCCGCCAAACGCGACCTCATGATGATCGCACTTACACGAGGACACAAACGCCTGGAGTTCCTAAAAAAAAGTTGAGGAGAATACCCAGCATATTCACGAGACGGAGTGGCGGCAAACATGGGACCAAGGCAGCGTTCAAAAGTGGTGGGATATGCTTTCTAACAACATTCGTGAAGCTATGCAGGAGATATTTCCCAAGCAGGAGCAGGACATTATAGGATATGACGAGATGCGACAACAGCGGATTCAACTGCTAGAGAAGCGATCGCAGCTCCGAGCCGATGCGCACCACACTGGCAGCACAAGTTACATAGGCGATGGTTACACGGAGTTCGATCAGATAGAGGAACAGCTCAAGGCCCTCTCACGGAAGTTGCAGGTGCTTCGACGGCGACAGAAGACGGAGAAAACGGAGAAGCTGGTGGATCAGATCAAAGAGGCGTGGAAACATCACCGCCACGCTGAGCTACACCGCCTCAGAGTTGCGCTGGCTAACACAGGGCGTGGACCGAAGAAGCGCAACTTGTTCGCACCGCGCACGGGGATGACAGCATCACAGTGGGATCAGGGACTGAGCCGACCGCCACAGATGGGGGGGAATGCAATGCGAGAAGATTGATTGGCAGGAGTGGATCGCAGACCGCGCTTTCATGCCGCACATTTATGAATCCTTGCGCGCAGATGACCTGCGAGATCAGATCCGCCAGGATCGGGCAGGATAGATGCGATACCTACGACGGGCCCCCAAAAGGCCGAGCAGGGCCTGCATGGGGAGTGCTAGCGGAGGCGCTATGCATGCGCATTGATTGGCGATATCACGTGGGCGAGCACGGACAGAAATACAACCCAGAGCACTTCAGCAGGCGGTACGACGACTTGCTTGCACTGATCCGCCCGGTAGGATCAGTCCCGCTGAGTGCCATTCGCCCGCAGTCGTTTTCCCAAGCCAAGGGCAACAACAAGCTCGGGATCCAGGGCCGGCGTATCCTTCATTGTTTCGACGCGTTTGGCAGGTCGTTTTCGGACAGCTCCAGAAGAAATCCAAGAGGCCGACCCCGCCAGATTTTGCACACGGAGGGCTTCCAGTTTTTGAGTTTATCTGCAGCGAGTTGGCGATGCAGGCAAGCTAAAGTGAGCCATGCCATTAGTAGCTATGATGGCACACACGCGTTCGCATGCACAGAAAGAAGGGCGCCTGACGAACACCATGCACGCACAACGCGACGGGAGAGTGTGCACTTACTACAACAAGCAATCAGGCAAGCAACAGTGCATGTAGGAGCCCACGACGGCGCAGCAGATTTTTTGCCACACAGTGGCACCACGATGGGCCACTCGCTAGCAGCAGGCGATTTCGTTGACAACTGCTCACCCATAGCTTCAGAGTAGAATACAAAGCTGGGCGAAGCAGACACCAGCTACACATGGCTAGCGGGTCGCTGCCCAGTAACTAAAGAGCAGGTTGACATAGGGGTTGGTCTTTTCGTGGATGACGTATCACGCGTACATATACATGCACATGCACCCCATGCACGCCACATCATGATGCAGCTGAACCACGCCACGCGCGAGCTCCAGACACACATGCAGAAGAACGGCCACTACTTGAACGCAGATGAGACCAACCACTTCATCTGCATGCACGGGGCGGGATCCTTTGAGGCATCCAGGGACCTAGTTCGTCAAGAACGCGTCCTCGGGGCAGTCTGTCGTGAAGCTCGCGTTCTCGGGCCGATTCTTAGCTTCGACGGGGTACTCAGGACGGAACCCAAGAACCGCATCAAAGGAGGCCGTGCTGCGCGGAGATCATGAGGAGAGGTGTGGAGGCAGCCCCTCCACCACAAGCTGTTTCGCACGCTCTTCTTGTGCTTTGTGTGCAGCGCCGCGATCGCGGGCCTCGCAGCGTTCGTATTGCCAGCGGAGTTCACGGATAAGTTAGACTCCGTGCAGGTCCGCATGCTCCGCTACGTGATGCACGGCAAAGCCAAAAACGAGTGCGAGGGCCGAGTCAGGACGATGCCAACCAGTGCAGTATTCAGCCATTGGAGCATTAGCCGAACCGCGATCGAGCTTAGAGTTCAGCGTCTGCGGTGGCGGCAGCAGATATCCAAGGCCCCACAGAACCACAAACAGGTCCTTGCAGCTATGTTTGGAACGTTGGAAACCGATCGACTTCTCGAGCACCCGAGACTTACGAGCGGCGGGGGGCTCACAGCGCACAGTACCCCTTGGGCCCATCAGTTCAGAGACGACTTGGAAGGCCTTGCTAAAGCAGATCAGAAGTTTGCGAGTATATGGACTATCAGAAGTACCCCCCCCCCCCCCCCCCAGATCTTTGAAGACCCGCAAGCCAGCAAGGAATTCAACGAAATCAGGACAGGTACCCATCGAGACCTCCATAGCCCCGATGGCGCCCGACGAGCAGCCCGACCACAGAGCGACGGTGGAGAAGCGGACGACGACAGCAGCATTACAGACGAGTACGCGTGCACGCACGAGATGGGGGAGGAGGGCGAGGGCAGAAGCTGCGGAATGACATTCACGACGGTCAAGGCACTCACGGCGCACATCACGCACGCGCACCACATGCGCAACCTGCACTCCATGATCATCAGCACGAACGTGTGTCCATGGTGTCGTACAGCATTTGCGAGCAGAGCATCATGTTTGCGCCACGTCATCACCATGTCGAGATCGCACCCGCTGCGTTGCCCCACTCGAGCCACTTCATTTGTATTCGAGCCCGAACAGCGGGATGTGTACACGTGCGGCTACTGCTGCCGCGAGGACACGAGCATTCGAGGAACACCTCAGCCACGTCACTGCTCATTGCTGGCCCTAGCGATGTCGTGGAGAGCCACCGCAGGAGGAAGCAGGCCGCGCAGTCAGACGGCGGAGGCCGCCGCGGCGACCCTGGCGCCGCGCCAGAAGCAGCCGCGTGGAGGGCCGAAGAAGGCCACTGGCAAAGAGAGTGGCTCAGGCGACCACAACGACGAAGAGATCGTGCTGATGCAGAAGCTGACGCTCAACAACGCGCAGATGATCAGGCAGCTGTCAGGCAGCCTCTGGGACTTCTTCCGGATCCCAGGAGAGCACTCAGCAGTGGCCGCCGCGGTGGCAGCGGGCACAACCTACGCGGAGAAGGCCAAGGAGAAGAACAACAAGGACCTGGGGCCTCCGCACCTCCACATCGGCGTCGACTTCTTTTGGAGATGGGGCTCAACGACAAAGCCGAGGGGACCAACAAGACGATCCTGACGGAGTTCCGCATGCTGATCGACGTGCTGGGCATGCAGGGCTTCGGGGACATCGTCTCCTACTTCAAAGTCAAGAAGGCCTACAGCGAGGCGGGACAGCCAGAGAAATGGAAGCTTACCTCATGCTCAACAGCCTCGCCTGCAGCCCGTGGACAGCAACCTGGGAGGACCAGATCAACGCCATCCGAGAAGGAAATCAGGAGCCGCACGTCAAGATCAGCCGCGCCACGCAGATCGGGGACCTCAGGAAAGCCATCGTGGACACACTGCGTGCGGCAGGGGCAGAGCAGATATTCGGAGCACCGCCGCCATCAGGTCTCGAGAGGAAAGTGCAGGCAGCGCTGCGGGCGCGGCAACTGGCGATGGAGGGATAGAGATGGCAGGACTGAGAGAGCTCGCCAGGGCAGGCAGCCGCAGGGCGATGGAGCTGCTGCGGCGCATGCCCGCCCGTGACGCCCCCGCGTGCTTTGAACTGTCGAGGGCGTTAAGTACATGTCTGGGAGATTTGTGAGCTAGGCGCCAAAGGGTGCCCTGTTTCCTTTTTCTTTCCTATTCTGCCTGTTGCGGAGGCCTGTCGTGAAGGCCCCCAGCGGACCATCGGTTCCAAACCGCGGGATCCTGGACGCGGGGCCAGACACTGAGCAGCGAGCAGATAGAATGCGCAGCAGCAGTACTAGCGGGTCTGGGGGGAGCGGGGGGGGTGGGGAGCGGGGGCGGTGGCGGGAAGACTGCTTCACAGGGACAAGCCCTGAGTCAGGGGCGATTGGCCAGCAGGCCCTAAGCCCCTGCCGTACCCATAACATGTTTGGTTTTTTTCTTACGGGAAGGCCCCGCGCTGCAGCGGGCCGAGAGGCTAAAAAGCCAAGGGCCCCGTAGGCGGCCCGCCGAATCGCCGATTTACCGCGCTAGCAGCAACAGGGTTACATGCAATAGAACCCCAGACAGCTGCCAAGGCTTCCGACTCCGACTCCTCCTCCTCCTCCTCCTCCTCCTCCTCCTCCTCCTCCTCCTCCTCCTTCGGTTTCATGGAGGGGCGCTTCGCGCGTGCGCTGCGCGTCGGTGGCCAGTTGGCCGGCGGCGGGCGGGCGGATCTGATTCCCAGGAGTTCGGGCCGGTCCGTGTGATTTCGTCGGGCCTCAAGGCCCAAACGAGGAATCGGCGGATCTCGGCGCCTAAGCAGATGTGTTTCGGAAGGCCGATTTCGAGCCATTTGCGATTCACCCCTTGAGATCGGGCCGGTTCGTTCGAATTCGCCAGATCTCGGATGCATGATTCATGTGAGCGATTTCGGGTATCTCTGCTCGACCAGGTCGAACATCCGATTTGGGGTCCGGGGGCTGTGGGGGCTGTGTTCGGCCGGGGCGGCGTTTTTTGGCAGTGAGAAAGCAACTTCCCGAGCGCTCTTGGGGCTCCCTTGGGGCGCTCTTGGGGGGTGGGCGCGGAAGGCCCGAGAAGGCCCCGAGATGGCCCAAGAGGGCCCCAGGAGGGCCCCAAGAGCGGTCGGGCAGTTTTTCTCGGAGGTGGATAGAGCTCCTACCCTGACACGTCGATTAAGCAATTGGCCGTTTTCAGTTCGCGAGAGGGCGTCGCAGCCGTCATTTTTGCGGGTCCAGGACCGTCGGTTTTGGTCCCAGGGCGTTTTCACTAAGGGGAGGTTTACTACAGGGAGGTTTGTCCACCGCCGACTTTCCCTTACCAAGAACGTCCCTGCTTGGTAGCAAAAAAACTGCCCGAGCGCTCTTGGGGCTCTCTTTGGGCCATAGTCGGTTTGGGCGCTACGCATGGTTACTTCTTTCGAGGGGCTCTCGACCCGGTCGAACATCCGATTTTGGGCCCCCCAGGGCCAGGACCACGCCCCATTGCTGCTCCTTGCACGGCCATGCCTCAGCCCGACTACGACACCGACGGGGGGGGGGGGGGCGGGGGAGGACGGAGGGGAGGCGGTGGAGGTGATCATGCGGCTGCCCTTCAAGTCGCTGCCCATGCGCCTTGGCCTTGGCCGTGGCCATGAGATTGTCCAAACTGGTGTTCAAGCCAAGCCGCGCCAATGGCCCAATCCATACTGATCCGGCGTCCTGCGCCGTGCCACCTCGGCCTGGCTCTGCATTGTCCCAGGCCGTTGCCATGATGCAGCCCATTGGGGCCACCGGGAGCGCGTCGCCTGCAAGGCTCTTCAACGCGGCCTCGGGCGCCGTGCCCGTCGCGCTCTCTGCCCGTCTGCTGCGTCTTCCGTGTCGTAGAACAGTTTTGGTGCCGACATTTCCACTCGTCCTTGGTGTTGATCTGATGACAGACCATGCACATTCCACTGTCTGCAGATGTCTTGGCCATCTGCCTTGGATGTGGTGTTGCCGAAGCACCCGTCGGAGCGCGTGCTGGCCCCCGCTCTCGCCTGGCCCTTCTCCACCAGGCTGGCGAACGAACCCCCTTGCGTTTGTCTTGTGGACGACGATCACTGGAGAGGAAGCACGTTGCCATTCAATTTCTGGATGTCCAGAAATGCCAGACCATGTTTCAGACCTATTAAGAATACGTTTCAACTATGTTTCGAATGCTCTGGCATGTTTTCAACACGCTTTCAATTCAATGATAGGGCTGTTAGGGTGTCCAATGTTGTGGCATCCGCAACATGTGCCTGGGCGCGGGATGGCGGGCGCCCCTTGGGCCAACGCTGGCCGCGCTCGCCCCAGCCCGCCCGCGACGGTGCCCCCCGGGGGCGTCGCAGGGCTCGGCCGTACAGGCTCCTTTCCCTCCTCCTCCTCCTCCTCCTCCTCCTCTTCCTCCTCCTCCCCCTCCTCCTCGTCTTGTTCCTTCTGCTCCTCCTCCTCCTCCTCCTCCTCCTCCTCCTCCTCCTCCTCCTCCTGATCCTCCTGTGCCTCCTCCTCGTCCTCCTCCCCCCCTCTCCTCTCCTCCTCCCCTCCTCCTCCTTCTCCTCCTCCCGCCCTCCTCCTCCCGCCCTCCTCCTCCCGCCCTCCTCCTCCTCCCGCCCTCCCTTCCTCCCGCCCTCCTCCTCCCGCCCTCCCGCCCTCCCTCCCTCCGCCACCTGGTCCGAGGGCGCCCCCCTTCCGCGCGGGCAGGGCCCCGGCCGTTCGGCCTCTTTGCCCGGAGACGGCCACGATGCCGAGGGACGGAGCGCCCCGCGGCGGCGCGGAGGGCCCGGACGCCCCCGAGCGGGCGGGGCTGCTCGTTCCAGCGGCCCGCCGCTCCCCGGGCGTGTGGCGGCAGAGGCGGGGCCCGCTCCGACGCGACGCCGATGTCGACGCTGGGCAGGGAGGGGGTCCCTCCTCCCCAGCCACCCTTCCCTCCCACCTCCTTCCTCCCTCCTCCTTCCTCCCTCTTTCCTCCTCCCTCCTCCCTCTTCCTTCCATCCTCCCTCCTCCTCCTCCTCCTCCATCCTCCTCCCTCTTCCGTCCCCCCCCCTCCCCCCTCCTCCCTCCTCCCGCCTCCCTCCTCCCTCCCCCTCCCTCCTTCCTCCTCCCTCCCTCCTGCTTCGTCCCTCCACCCTCCGTTCCTCCTGCCTCCTTCTTCCATCCTCCCTCCTTCTCCCTTTTGCCTCCCCGCTCCTCGCTACTCCTCCCTCATCTTCCTCCTCCTCCTCCTCCTCCTCCTCCTCCTCCTCCTCCTCCAAATAAGATGCCCCGCCGCAGCCGTTTTACTCTGGGGTGCGGAAGGCGGCTGCCTTCCGTGCCCTTGTTAGTCGCGTGTTAGACATACCCCGTGTTATTTCTGCTCTCTCTGAAAATGTACCTTTCATCGTACCATCCGTTGTCATACGCGGGTATCGCAAAAGTTTCGTGTGAACGTCTCACGGGAAGATATGCACAAGTGCGCGCAATGACCGCGTGACCTTATAGCCCCAAAATGGTATGATTCGGTCCCCAGGCCACCGACGATTACCTCCAAGCGAAGCTGCGATGATTCCCTAGCCCAACATGATCCCGACAAGGCATCTTGAGGGTCTCAGGACGCCTATGCCTATGCGACGACCCGTCTGATGCGCAGCGGGCGATGCCGAGACGGCCCCAAGGCCAGAACATGGACCCAGGAGGGCGATTCCAAACTGATCGAGCGACGCCCGCACAATCCAAACATGACGCGGGGGCGATCTGAAAACGACCTGACGACAACTCCAAGGTACACCCAGGATCGTTCGCACGTCGACGCAGTGGGCGGTCCCGCAACCTGTATATCATGTGAAGTTGATTTCGCGAGGGCCCAACATGGCTTCCAGAGGCCCTGACGAGGGGTCCGCGGCGACAGGACGGCGCACGCAACCTATGAATCCCAGCTTGCGCCTACCAGCGCGGCGGGGTCGCTCAAGGGCCCAAGGTTCACGGCGCGACGTAGCCCCGCGCCCGCCGTATCCCGTCAGACAGGCAGGGCGAGATCCCGACGCGCACTCCGTTGGACTATCGCGCAGTTGGCGGTGCGTCCGAGGAGCACGTCTGCAACCGCGTCGCGGAATGTCCTGAGCGCAGCGAACGTGGCGACGACGCGACGCACGAGGGGCATGCCCACAATTATGTTGCGGGGTGTCCCTGGCGCAGTGACGGCCTCGACGGCGCGACAGAAGACGGCGCCCAATGCGCTGATCAAGAGGAGCAAATTCAGGACGCGTCGCGTATCCCCACCAGCCCATCCAGAATTGATCGCCAGTTTTCTTGAGGCCTCTTTGGAGGCTATCTTGAGCCATGCTCGGCTAGAGGCTGTCGGAGGCTATCTTGAGCCATGCTCGGCTATCTTGGGCCATCGTGAGGCTGCCTTGAGGCCTCTTGGAGGTCTGTCGGAGGCTATATTGAGCCATGCTTGGCTGTCTAAGGCCATTTTGAAGGCCATCTTGGGCTATCTAGGGCTCTCTTGGAGCCATCTTGGGCCAAGAAGGGCAGAGTGGGGGGTCTTTGGGAGAGGCTTGGAGGCCTCTTGGGGCCATCTTGGGCCCCATGTTTCAAAAATAGGAGGCGCCTTAACTCGGATCCCCCCCTCGGAGGCTCTCAAACGGCGCCTTGGGGCCGTCTTGGAGCGCTCTTGGGCGCCTCTTGGGCGATCTTGGGGCCGCATTCGGCCTTCTTGGGCCCCTCTTGGGGCCCTTTCGGCCATCGTGGTGCCATCTTGATTGAGGCTTCCAAAGACAATCGGAAGCGAAAAGGCGAGAATGCCAAAAACATTGTTTTCCCATAGCTTTGAAGGGTTTTGGCATCTTGGAGATCTCCGCGGAGGGCTCGAAGGGCATGTGGATCCGTCTTGGGGCTGTCTTGGGGCCTCTTGGGGGTATGTCGGAGGCTATCTTGTCCCATCTTGAAGTGACATGGGCCATCTTGGAGGCCATCTTGCGACTTTGAACGCCTCTTGGAGCAATCTTGGGCCATATTGGACGCGCCAGCGCCTCGCGGCGCGCCCCGCCCAGGCCCAGGGGAGGGCGGGGGGGGGTTCAGCGGACGAGAGAAGAAAAAACGCGCTAGACCAAGGCCCAGAGGGCCGGTGGGATTCGAGGCAGGGGCCCGCGACGGTTCCGGGGCTCATGGCGAGAGCGGGGCCGTCGGTGGACCCCCGGCCCCCAGCGACCCCGTGACCTTCGGAGGGGCCTCCGCTCCGGACGGAAGGCCATCGGAGTGGGCGTGCTCGCCTCGGCCATGTGCCTAGGCTGGGTGGAGGCAGGAGGCGGTGGCGGCAGAGCGCGGCGCCCGCCTTCCTGGGGGCCCGAGCAACCATCTCGGGCACCTCTTTACACGTGGTTTGGTCACTGGCGAACTCGGACCTCAACAAGTTTTGCCGGGCGGCCTGCGCATCATCTCGTCGCCCGGGCATGGCCCGAGAATGGGCGGGCAAGTGGCCGCCGCGCGAGGAGGTGCTATCGACGGCAACCTGGCCCTCCCGACGCGCAGGTTGGCCGCGCGTCGGGGGCAATGCGGCGCGGGGGGGGGGCCCGCCCCAGCTGTCTCGGCGCTTCTGAGCTTCGACCGACTGCCGTGGGGGCGCGCGGATCGCATTCTCGCGCAGTGTCACGTCCTCCGCAACCGCGCCCAGCAAGCTGGTCAACCCGCGATCGGCCACGAGGGTCTCGTCGTCCTCCTCTTGCGGGCGGTAGTGGCGTCAAGCGCGCGGTTGGCCGCGGTCTTGCAGCTCGACGACATGGCCTGCCCGACCAATGCAGCGCAGCTCGCGCGCGTGATGGGTCTATTGCGGCGCTCTGGGCACGCGCTCGAGGGGTCGTCCAGCAATCTCGCCTCGGCGGCAAACTCTGCCAAGCAGCGGACCTTTCTCACGGGCGCGCCCGCGCAGAGCGCCCGCGGCATTGCGGCCGGATCGGGCCGGGGCGGCCCGGGCCCGTCAGCGGTGGGGGGCGGCGCCGAGCCCACTTGCGCCAGCGCCGCCAGCGCAGGAGGCATTCCCAGTGGCCGCCGTCGACTCTAGCGCCGACGCCGACGCCATCAGCTCGTTCAGCGAGGGATGCATGGCCGCCGACGACTCCGAGCAACGCGACGTTCCCGTGGGACAGCGCAGCGCGTGCCTGTCTTGGGTTCGCGAGTTCGCCAGAGCACGATGGCGTCGCTTCAGCGGCCGCAAGCCCTCGCGCCCCGCCCGGCGGGTCATTGAGAGGAAGGGCAATGGGCGCGGAAAGGGCCACCGAGTCTCCCCGGCGAATTTGGCCGAGAAGACCTCGAAGAGACATTCGCGGGCTCTGAGCAGGGCAGAGGTGAGGGTAAAGGGAGATTCGGGACCAGTGGCGCGGGTTCGGGCCGTCGAGGTAAAGTTTGCGGGCCCTGGCGGGGTGCGACTCGAGCGCCGCGCGTGTGATTCAGAAGAACGCCCCGTGCGCGACTGCCCCCGGCGCCGCGGCCACGGGCGCGCTCTCTTCTTTCTCAGCGCCCGCGCCCCGCGACCACCGGCGCCCGCGCCGTCGTCGACGTCGGGGTAGCAGGGGCCGCTGAGCCGAGCTGAGCAGCGGCCCCTGACGGACGCGCGCGCGGTTTGGATCATCGGGGGCGCCGCCAGCCATGGGCTGATTATGTCTTCAGGCTCTGGCGCGAGTGACCCCATGCAGAGTGCTGATCCTTGAAGCGGCAGGCGGCCTGCAGTAGCGTCGGCAGCGCCGCGGCCAGCAGCGGCGGCCACTGCGCCGAATTCGTCGTCCGACGTTCCGCGGCAACAGGTTGGCCACAGTCAGTTGTCACGTTGGGCGGGCGCAGCATCTCCATGGTCATCGCCCAACCCTTGCTTGCGACGCCGAGCTGCGGCGATTTCGACAGGAGGTGGGCGATATCATGGGCCGCGTGCAAGCCTCTGCGCAGCCGCTGGTATCTGCGACGACGTTGCAGGCCCGCGCGGCAGCCGCGGGGCCAGTGCCAGCCGCGCCGACAGCGCCGACAGCTTCAGCAGCGCCGCCTGCACCGCTGCAGTGGGCGCGCGTTGGAGGTGCATTCCCTCTGGGACAGGACCAAACACGGCACTGGCTGGGCGGCCTCCGCGCGCGGGCCGCAACTTCCACGCCGCCGGCTGCCGACGCGCAGCTGCCGGGCTGGGCCTGCATGCCGTCGGTGGCCTCTCCCGGCATCGGTGCGCCATGCGGATCGAGCTCCAATTGGCCGCCGCAATCAGTGCCGGCGCCCGCGCTTCCGCCAGTGCTGGACACTCTCAGGATTGGTCCTGTTCAACGCAGGCGGGCCAGTGGGCGTGAGCCAACCGTGAGGGGAGTGGCCGCGTGGTCTGCCGGTCGCGAGACCTGGGCGTCCAGGGGCAATCGGTCTGATCGCAGCTCGCATTCCGCTTTCGACTACAAGTGGCGACGACGCCTCGACGAGCATCGCGACGCACAGCTAGCATTGGAGCTACTGCGACAGCAGTCAGACCAGCAGCGCTGAGCTGCGCGGCGTTTTGCAGAGACGCCGACTGACCCTCCCCCGGCGCCAGCCGCGGCGCCGGCTGCGCCCCCCGCATTTGTTGTCTGCAAAGGCGACGATCAGGAGAGCCCCATCTGTCGAGGCCCTCGCCCACGTCGAGAGGGTTGCACGACTGCAATTCCGACGCATCTTGCGCCGCGCATGCTATCCACAGCTCGTGCAGAACATTGGCGCCGGTCTGGTCTACCGCGCGGCGCGCCGCAGACAGGCCGACGTCATCGCCGACTACCGCTTTGTTAGCGCAGATCGTGCACCCGCGGGGTCGGCGCCGTAGGCGGCGACCCGCGACGCGCCAGCAGTGGGCGCGCCGCGGGAGACATGGCCGCAGC